GGCGGCCACCTGTATCATGACGTTCCTGAGGGCGGTGATTAGGCGATATTTATCCCAGCCAACAAAGTCTGAGAGGATAGATCTTGGCTTCGAGATGGAATGGTTCGTCATGTCACTTGGAAACCTTGATACAGCATTGTGGCTTCCAAAATTGCCGGATCAGAGGTCTGTGCTTGAAAGAGTTAGGGACAGATTCTTCCGCTACGACCTGAAGATTCTTATAGAGAAGTTCAAGGGTCTAGTTCCCCGGCACGCGTCACACAAAGCAGGCACCTCAGTCCAAAGCAAGTCTTTCACATGGGTTATACTCTCAGGGAAGACGAGTACAGTGCAGTGGACCCAGGGGTTTAAAGAATCAAAAGCTTGGAGGGTGAACAACCTGAGAAATGTGAGCGGCATGTTTCAACTGAGACGATACCTTGGGGAGCTTGGTAACTGGAAAGGGCCTGCATACGCCGAAGCTCTCACCCTATCTCGAGCTATTGAAGCCATTCTAGACACTTTTGCTCCGTATCTCATGAACGTGGACGACAAAAAAGGCTGTATTTGGAACGTACAGGTTGCAGGCGCTGGCAAGGAATCAGAGACTATCCGATTTCACATCGACTGGACAACGGAAGGGTGGCAGGTCCGCACTGACGAACTTGACTCCGCACTTTCACTCTGGCTGTACTCAGTAGATGGTGTTAACGCGGAGGCAGAACATGGCAGTTTCCCTTCTGAGCGCGGTAGTTGGATACGAGACAAAAAGGCACCACACCGATGTGTGCAGATCCTTGGCTTGTCTACGGGCAATCTTACTCGAGATTTGGATTGGTGGATGCCAAACCGTCTGGAAGGGATCTTGGAAGCGAAGAGGTCACAAACTCAACAACCTCACCAGACGTCCCAGTCCACTGATGATACGAAGTCGCGACACAAGGTACAGACCAGGCGGATTGGCCTTAGTGGTCTGAGACACTCTCTCGCAGATGACGCAACCAAGCTTTACCAAAACTCGCAAAGTGGTCAGCTGTTTCCCGAGTGTACATCGCAACAGCCCGAACACACCTGTTGGCAATGGCAAGATGCTCTCTCTCATAGCTTTAGGTCGAAGAGCGATATCCTTGCGCGGGAAAGGATTAGCTCTGGGTCCAAGGGAAATGGCTCGGGATCGAAAGAAGACGGCACAGGATCGCAAAAGCCCATCTATCCGTTCTTAATTGTTGACTCACAGGACTCACTTGAAAATCTCTATGCCAAAGATTTGCTGTCTTGTTTCATGTGGGCATTTGCGAGTCATTTGAAGCCGTTTGCCATTGGGCGACATTTCAAGGCAACAATAAAGGCTTCAACTACGCAGGAGCTGCCCGAAACCCTTGCATTTCGAAGCACTGAACTCTCTTACCTTGTTCAGCGCATCGCGAGCTTTGGTTCTTGGACTGAACGCGATGTTTATCTCTGTCTATTGCCTGCATTGAGCTCTTCGAATAACCTCCCGGGCGTCAGTGCTATTGTTGACACAGCTCTGGAGGCTGCTGCTGAACAAGAACGGGAAAGGAATTGGACAAAGGCGTGGGTAGCCTATGAATGGCTTTATAGAATTTGCACCAGGTTCTTCCTGCCATCCAGTCCAATTGTCTGGGAATTTTTGGCCGCAATAGTACTGTTTGAGTTCAATATCGGGAATACGAAGGTGGATGATCTCTTCTCAAATCATGATGCCGCCTACCGTTCCGGCAACATGACCACGGTCAAGAAACAGTTGGCTGCGCTACTGAGCAATGAGAGCACTGGGATTCTCCGTGTGAGAAACAAAATAATGAAACTTGCCGAAGTCTACAGCCGCGTAACACCGCTTGTTTTGAGTCCTGGCCCAGGGGAGGACCTAGAATCGATTTGGGACCAGGTGGAAGACTTGAGGTTTCAGCCGATATATGCGTCCGTGGTGGATGAAGGTCAGGGCTCCTTTAATAGGCCAGTGGATAAACGCGATATATTTGGAAGAAGCCTGCTTCATTGGATGATGTCGGGCGATTTGGGATCTGTCACAGTTCCCTCTCCAAGTTGGCTACGGAACCCAAAGATGTTTCAGCAGGCCTACAAGTCCTGTGCAACATATCTAGGCCACAGAAATGAAGATCAGACGCCGCGTTTGATCCGAATACTCGACAGCGCCTTCAACGACGAAAATGGGTCAATCACTGAGTCGGATATCCAGGAGGTATTGGTCTTCCAAGCTCGCCAAGCCCAAAGGCTTCTGGATATCGGGGCGGATCCGAATGCTCGCGATAGGATATGTTGGACACCACTCCATCATGCCTGCGAGGTTGTCTTACCACGACGCTCAAAGAGGTCAAGCAAGCGACCGACATGGCTGGAATCATATCAAATTTCAACGCGTTCGAATTTCAAGGCCCCTGTTGACGCGAACTCGGAGATTGTACTCCCCTCCAGCAAAACGACACTCCCCCAAAGAGAAGATTCCGACCATGCCGAAGCGTCAGACTATGCGGAGAAGTTCGATATTGCGAACTCCGATGACTTGGGTACAGACATAAGGTGGGAAAGACGTCAGCAAGACAAAAGAACGGAAAACTTCTACGTAAAGTTGGCCTTGGAGAGAGTGGAAATCCTCCTGCAGAGGAATGCCGACATCAACGCTCAAAGCCTCGACGGCAGTACTCCTCTACACTGTGCCGTGCGGAGTGGCTGTGGCAGCCTAGTTGATCACTTGATGAAAAAAGGCGCCGACGAAACCATTGCCAACTGTAATGGACACACACCATTTCACCTGGCAGCTATGGCAAACGAGACCTTGTTGTTGTTCAAACTCCATCCACGCAGTATTCTTGGGGCTGAAACGAAGGACACGGCTGGCCGAACGGCGCTCCATCTTGCCGCTATGACCGATAGTACAGATTCAATGGATACATTGTTTCAGTTGCCTCGAATAAGAGAGAATACTCCGGACAACAATGATCGAACCCCGCTTCACCTTGCCAGCCTATTTGGGAACGCAGGTGCTACTAAACTCTTGCTCACAAGGCCAGCGGTTTCATGGAACAGCCCGGATTCGTACGGGTTTACTCCGCTTCACCTAGCGGCAATGTCAAACTCATATGACGTGGTAACGCTTCTGGTTGGACAACAGAAAATTGTTTTCGATGTGTGGGGGCAACACGGACAAGTCAACGCCATCTGGAACTCGCTGGATAACCTACGTCGAACGCCATTTCACCTGGCAGCGGAACATAGAAGCGATGAAGCAATCCGTCGCATCATAGACGGCATGAACAGAACTGGTTTCTGGGGCTCTGCCATTGCGAATGTTCTTGCACAACAGGACATTTTCGGCGATACAGCTTTGATGAAAGCCATGAATAGCAGAAGCCTCGTGTCGGCGCAAGTGTTGTGCGAGTACCAGGAAGATGAAAACGCCACAGAGAAATGGGATAAGGAATTCTTAGAACTGAAAAATCAGGACGGCTACACCGCACTAGCGATCGCAGTTTCTACGTTGTTCAAGGAAGGCGTCGAGTATCTCATTGGAAGAGGTGCCAACATGAATACTGAATGCTTCGAAAGGAAAGGCCTTCTTCATTACGCTGTCTCGTCAGGAAGTTGGATCATTGCGGGAATCATCACTACCAAAGCTGATACGAGATCACTGCGTGAGTTGATTTATAAGAGAGACATTAACAATCAGACGCCTTTGGATCTTGCAACAGACCAAGGCCCTGAATGGCAGAAGTGGGCGGAGCGATGCCCATTGCCGGTCGAGAGGCAATGGCGACTCCAACTAGCCAAGGTTGCGTCAAGAGCTAATAGAGCTATGGGGACGAGCATATTGCCTAGGATTCCTGAGGATGACACACTGAACTAGCACAGTATACAGGCATTACAAGAGACGTTGATAATAATGATGATAACTGCAATAACATAAGATAACAATAGTAGAAGTGATATTAGGCATCTCACTAGGTGCGAGTGGAGAAACATACTTATGATCTAGCTTTCTGTAAATCCTATCAAGTATGAAAGAAACAAAACCACTAATTAGGCCCCAAATATCATGTGGCATAAACACCCAAAATACTTACCACCTCTCACCAAAACCCCATCACCAGACGTCGACAGCTTACGTCATCCACCCAGAACAGCCCCCAACCCCCAAACAACACATCGCCCACCCCATCCAACGTGGCATCTTATCCATCTCCCATAAGTTCTACAATATCCCTCGTCTGCAAAACTCTCACTGCAACCTCACCTCCCCTCACCTCAAAATTCATGCACGTTGCGCGGTTGCGCGGAGCGTGTCTGATGTCCTCTTCAGACCCCTGTCGTTGCAACTCCAAACCCAACCCACACCCACACACGACCTTACCCAAGAGGACCCGCCTCCACAGCACGAACCCAACACAGACGCGGGCCGCCCCGACGGTTCGACCTCTTGGTCTAGAACGCCCGACATCCATTGGACTCTTGCCCAGACGGATGTTCGGCAGGAGCCAAGTTTTTGTGTCAGATTGTCACTGCCTAAGATCGCTTCTTTCCGAAAATCAGGGTACTGGTTCTCAGGATCGGCGTTGCTAAAATCCACGTTGGATGCGCATCTGATGGCGCAACTTGACGAGGAGTGGTCACAATCCGTTGTACTTCGTCGGATAATAGCTGGAAAGCACGCGTGTGTGGCAAGTCTTCGTGATTTTAAATTTTTTCTCATCAATTTGGATATATAGCAGTTGCAACGATGCAAGAGAAGAGAGAATATGCCGCGCTCAAAACAAAACCTGTTCCTTGTTTCCAGGTTGAATTACAATGAAAAGGAAGATCCGAACCCGTTCCTGTGCCAAATGCTCTGCTCCTGTCGGAGGAGGGCGCTGTATGATGTTCTTTTTTTGATCCCGTGCCGAAAATGCTCGCTAAACCCGATTCCCATCCAGCCTTTATATGCAACAGTGGGAGAAATGAAGAAGAAAACCGTAACAGACAACGCGTTGGACAGGTGGTCCCATCTATACGTTGTGATCTCCATTGGAGGTGACAGTAGCTTCGCTACTTGTCTTCTTTTCCGACTTGCCACCGGCGGCGTTGCTCGCGACCTTTTCGAGGACAACCCTCTTACGGAACTCGAATACGGTGTCGTGCTTGTTGACGATGGCGGTGTGGACGCGGTTCTCGGAGCGCGTCATCCAGATGGGGTAGGGAGCCATGGAGGCGGGAAAGAGGGGCAAGTTGAGGCCGGACTCCATGAAGGCGTACGGGTCGCTCTTCTCGAACGAAGAGATGATGTCCAGCTCAGAGGCAACCTGTTCGCAGTACAGCTCGAGGGGCAAGTCGTTGACGTCCTCGCCGAAGGGGTTCTCAATCTCACGGCCGATGAAGAGGATACCGAGAATAATATACGCGGCGGCGACGGTAGCGGGGATCGTGATCCACTCGAGCTTGCCGACGAGCTGGAAGGGCAGAAGCATGACGTAAACCCAGGTAATCTGGCTGATGGCGATGGTGTAGGCGATGGGCAGAGGGGTGGTGAGAACACGCTCGGTACCGGTCATGATGTCGTTGAGGAGGGAGATGTTGTTGTAGGCAATGGTCTGCTGCATCGGCACCTTAAGCTGACCGTCTTCGACCATCTTGTCCACGAGGCAAGAGATGTAGCTGAGAATCTCGAGAGGAAGGTTACCGAGGGGGCGGGAGGCCTTCTTGATCGTCTTGCGAGGGTTGCTGGCGGCGAAAGAAACGCCGAGGTACTCGCCCGTCTCCTTGAAGAAGTTCTTCTTTCTCTCCTGGACCTTTTCGGGCTCAGCGGCGGTGGCCTCCTGGGCGAAGGTCGACAGGTGCGCAACGAGGTGCTCAAGATCCTCGTAGCCGGTGTAAGGCTCGAAGCGCAGCTTGTGCTTGAGTGCGACGGAGAAGGCGAGGAGCAGGTTCATGCAGCCAATCTTGCGGAGCAGGGACTGTCTGCGGTCAATGTTCTCAGGATCGCCACCGTGGATCCAGAAAACGCGACCAAGGTTCTGGCAGGCGAGGATGAGTTGCGCCCAGTAGCGGCGACCCTCGGCGTAACGTTCGTAGGCGGTAGAACTGCGGAAAGAAAGACCCATACCGACGACAAAACCCAGAACGGTCAGCAGGACGGAGTCGACAGCCATCGTGGTCTTGAGCATGTGAATGCAGGTAATACAGGCGGACCACAGACACATCCAGAGTAGGGGGACGATCATCTTGGGCAGAATGCTGCCGTGCATCTGCATGAACAGGGGCCATTTTGAGTGCTTGAGGATGTCGCGAGGACCGGTGAAGTAGTCGTCGAGGTCGATGCTGGTGTTCTTGCGACTGAAAGGGTTCGGGGTCATGGGTCCGGTAGGCGACATGGCTTCGCGCATCTCGGCGGCGTCGAAGGTGGGGATGTGCTTGATCTTCATCGACTCGGAGTTTTGTCGCTGGTGGTTGGTGTCGGAAGCGGCATTGTGACCACCACCGCCGCCGCCGCCGCCGCCCGCAGCAGGAGCGCCCATACCGCCGCCGTCTTCGCCGCCCATTACGTATGGAGTATTTCCTGTGTCGGTGAAAGATGTGTTGATTACTGGTACGTCGGTGGGCGAGGTTGGAAACTGGGACATGTCCGTTGGTGTAAGACACAAACGGGGAAAGCGTGATTAATAAGGGGAGGACCTCGATAACGGTGGTCCAGCCTGATCGACTACGGGAGGTCGATAACGAGGAAGGGATTGGCGGTCGAAAATGAGCGCGGGAGCCCTGGACGGGAGTCGAGGGTATATGAAGCGCGTAGCCTGAAGGGGCCAAGGAAATTGAACGGGAGACGTTGAAGGCTGAGGCAAGGAGGGGTGTTCCTGGCCCGGAAGGATGGGATGGGATGGTGGGATTACGGGATTGAGGATGGTGTGTGGGAGGACAGGCAGGGTCTCGACGATAAAGATGGTGTGGTGGTGTGGTGGAGGTTTGAGGCGTGCAGCAGTGAGTGAGCGGACGGCCGAGCTGAGACTGATGAGACGACGACGACGACTGAATTGAGTTTGAGCAGCGATAGTGATGTGATAGTAAGGAAACCTGACGGTGAGAGAAAGAGACCAGAAAATGGAAATAAGAAAACGGGAGAGGACGAGTTGGACTTGAAGAGGATGCGAAGAAGAAAAAAGGCAAAGGATCACGGTTTTGGACGGGGACTGGGACTGGGACAGGGACAGAAAAAAGATACAAAATACATCACCGTCGCGTCCCGTCTTGCTGCTGCTCCTTCCTTCCTTCCTCCCTCCAACTTCCGTCAAAGCAGGACCCAAGAGCAGGCACGTTGGACATTGGACAGCCGGAAGGTGCTTCTTGCCCGGTTCTTGCCCAGTTCTTGGCTCCTGCCTGCCCAGTGACTGCCCGTACCGCACCGCTCCCGACTCTTCTCCTGCAGGCCACAGCATGTGTACCCCTTGCCGCCTTTCCCCTTTGGGCGACACCTTCCCGCTGCTGGGTCGTCAAACGGCGTGTGCTCACCATGTCTAAGCCAATGAGAAGCCTGTGTTTCCTCGTCTCGGCCGTCTCCAAAAAATGTCAGTTCTAGGGGGGGTAAGAGCGGCCAGCCCCGGGGAAGGAGCCATGCACCGCGACTGCCAGCCCAGGGCCCCAGGCACCGTGGAAAGACCAGTGAGAGCCGCTAGAAAGGGCAAGGGGGCGGAGCTGAAACAGGGGCCATGCGACCCCACCTCAATTGGGCCCCTGCTCCTTCTCTCTCTGGTTTTTTTTTTTCCCTGAGCATTTTTGTGCTCTTACTGGCAACTGCAGCTGGCTGCCTGCTGCCTTCTCACAGCTTCACAGTGCTTGAAGGCAGGTGCTTCCCAAACAGGCCCCTCGTAGCAGCAGCAAAATGCAAGCCAAGGGGTCGTTTCTGTCTGACCTCGCAGACTTGGGCTCATCACCTCACACAACTGGCCGCGTACACATCACACGTCCATTCACACGTCGCGCGTCGTTGCATTGCCCAAAGTCCCAACATTCGCCGCTGCCTTGAGCTGTCCCGGGATACTCTCCAGTGGGATGGATGCACATCAGAAAATTGAGCGCTGACTTGCAGCTCTTCCTCCACTCGCCAGCATGCTCACACGAGCCAGAAACAGGGCCACAGAACCACCATCGACACGTGGAGGCGCCCAAGTTGATCGCTTGATGCTTGGGTTTCTTCCTTGATTTCGACACCCTTGCCGGCCCTTCCAGATGCAAGCACACGGGGTCCAGCGATGAATGTGCTTGAGCAATGCCTCGCACAAAATAGCACCTCACGCGATGATTGGAGCCTGCCCGCCAGCATTGATTGGGACTCCGATTTTCCACTCTGGCCCTGATCGAGATTGATTCGTCCGTCGACTCATGTCTTGGCATCCATCGTTGCAACTGTCGGTTCTCCCTCAGTCACCGTCACACTGTACGAACATGGACACTAATACCGGTTACAACAAACGGCTCTCTTTCAGCGACACCGCAGCCTGTGTGTCCCCTGAATGCTCGACACCACGGTACGGTTCAGGTCCAGGTCCTAGTCTAGGTCCAGCACCCGGACACTGTGATCCCTGAAGACTGAGAGGACCCCGACCCCGACGAAGCCGCCGCCGTCTCTTCTCCCCGTCTGTGAGTCTTCACGTCGCCTTCTCCCTGATGGCCAGCCCGTTCCACGGACAGGGCCCCCGATCGTATTCCCCAGCGAACCATACTGACTGAAGATCTTGCTTCTTCCAGGGCTTCACACCCGCAAAAAAATGCTACAATGTCCGCAGAAAGGGGCCGCAGTTGAGCGAGGCGACATTGCACTCATTTCGCCCAGACTTGCACAGTCATCACCGACTGGGTCTTGGCATCGTCCCTTTAATAATCTGATCTCTGCAGCTGGCATCCAATGTCTGACGCTGACGCGCGGGAAGACGACAGCCACCAACAGCAACACTTTTTGAGACGGAAGACGCAGGTGGCAGCCAGCAATGCGCCTCTTAGGGGTTAGCTTTATGCGGCTGCTAGCCGCGGCGCACCACAGCGGCCGGCAATTCTTAAATCTAGAGAGACTGCAAAACTGCAAAAACAAACTTGCTAGCTGATGCCGACGGAACTGCATCGCCTCGTGGAGTCAATACGCAGTATTAGGACCGCGGTTTGCCTGGACCCCAATTAACGCATTACAAAAACGCTCTAGCCACTACCCACTTCTAACTTTTACACCACCCTCCACCCCCTTCTACCCTTACTACTACTAACCTACTTTTTGATTATTAATTTATAGCTAATATAATCTTATTATTTTTTATATATAAAAACCTAACTTTTTCTAAATATCTAATATTTCTTAAAATAGTATACTCATATAATATATAAGTAATATTTTAATTTGTAATATTATATCTTTTTAAACTAAGTAGCCCCTCTAGATTATTCTCCTTCTACTCTACTTATTTCTCTTATTAACCTACCCTTTATAACCTACTTTACTATTACCTTTATTAATACTTTCTCTTTTTTTCCTTTACTTTACTATTACTTTTATTATTACTTCTACTTATAATAAATCTTAAGGAGTAGAATATATTTAACGTTCTCTTTACTAAAGTTTTTACTACTAATAATATTAATAAAGTATACCTTCTTTTAGTACTAAATCTATATATTAACTATAAGCTTAATCTATATAAAAATAACTAAATAGATTTTAACTTAAAAGCTTTTATTATTAACATTAAATATATATTTACTTTTAAGCTACTTTTACTTTATCCTCTATTAACTTTTACTCTCTTTAAGACTTATTAGAGATTAAAATAACTAAAGCTAATCTCTTTTTTATCTTAAAAGATATTAAAGCTATATATAATACTGTTTTTAACCTTATAACTACTTATATACTTAATACTACTATATTTAACGCTTAGTAGCTTTATATTAGTAACTACTTTATTACCTAAAGTAAGTATATACCTAGCTTTAAAAAGAGATTTACCTGTTAGTTCTTGTACTACTTACTCTTTAAAAAGAAGGAGTACTAAAGTCAGAGTACTAATTAATACACTAGAAGTATATAGTAAGTAATTAGCTATACTTTTTAGGTAAAAGTAATATAGTATTATACTAATTTAACTTTCTCTAAGTACTTTATTATTAAGATTACTACTATTTATAGCTTCTATATTAACTATAACTTTATATAACTTAATTAAGCTAAAATCCCTCCTACTTTTAAATATTTTATTACTACTTAAATTTCTTTTAGTTATAAACCTTCTAAAGTTTATTATATTTTTAAAGCTATAATAAGTATTATAAGATTATTAAGAAAGTATTAATCTTAGTAAGTAGTAAGTAGCTAATAAAGTAAAGCGTTTATAATATTAATAATAAGTAGTTCTAAGAAAACCTTAATCTTAAGATAGTTAAGCTTAATTATTATAAAGATCTATAAGTTAATAAAGTTAAGTTATATTTATTATAGTTATAAAAATACTTTTATAAATATACTAATATTAAGTAATATTAAAATAATTATATTAATACTAATAGCTGTATTTAGGCTAAGTTAACTTCTATTAATCTTTTAGCTTATTATAGTTACTTTACTATAATAAATATTACTTATAAGACTAACTAGCTTAATTAATTACTTTATATAGTCATAGTATATAATTTAACTAATATTTAGCTATTAGTAGCTTATTTTATTACTATTAAAGCTAATAGAGATATTATTACTACCTACTTTTATTAACTTAAAGCTTAATACTCACTTTAAAGCTATAAATAGTATCTATACTACTTTTTAACTAATAACTTTATTATTAAGTAATATATTATCTATAAAGTATTCCCTAGCTTTAAAGCTAGTAAAACCTAAACTACTTACTTCCTCTACTATATTTACAATAAGAGAACTTTAAACTATTAACTTTTAAAGCTATAATACTATAAAGTTTATACATTACTATTTTCTACTCTAAAATTCTATTAAACTAAGTATAAATATATTAAAGCTATTAAAAAAGCTATTATTATTACGCTTAATATAAAAAAAGACTATATATATAATAACTAGCTACTTACTTATAAAAAGTAAGCTAACTATATTTATAACTACTTATTACTCCTTCTATAGATTATATTAACTAATACCTTTAAGTTATAACACTTTACTCTTAAGTATAACTATAAATTACTAATAAAGTATTTTTCACTATATAACATTATTAAGTATTATAACTATATTGATAAGTACTATTATAAATAAGTTAATATATATTAGTATATTATCAAGAAGATTCTACTTAAAGCTATTATTTTATTAAAACTATACTACTTCCCTAAATCTATATAAAAAAAGATTATTAATAAGGTATAAAAAGCATATAAGCTAATTAATAAGAATACTAACCTTATTAATACTATATTTAGTAATAATATTAACATTATAATTAGCTATAATTACTTCTTGTATAGTATTATTAATATCTACTTTACTACTATATCTTATAATAGTAATTACTTAATAATACAATTAGTAATATCTATTAACTTTACTAAGTAGATATATAATAAGAAAGTAACTATAAGTTCTATAAAATGTTTAAATCTTATTATACTTCAAAATAAGTTTCTAAAATTATTACCTTACTTATATATTTTAAAGTTTATAAATAAACTAAGATCGTTGTAGATACCTATTTTAAGTATAAAAAATATATCTATAGTAATTAATAAGAAGAAATATATATTACTTAGTAGTTAGTTTAAATAGTAGTAGCTATTATTAATATTATTAACCTAACTATTAAGAATTAGGAAGCTTAGTAGTAGAGATATTAAATACTATCCTTTTTATTATATAGCTATATATTATTAATAATATAAGAAAGAAGAAAAGTAAGTTAGAAAGTAAATAAGAGATAGATAAGATATATAAACTAACCTTCAAGTTAGGAATACTACTTAATTTAGTTTAATAGTAGGGTAAACTAGCCCCTAGTAAGATCCCTACTCTAGCCTACTAGTCAAGACATACGCCTAAATCACACGCCTTAAAGCCAGAAGTTACACACCCAGTAGCTAGAGCGTTTTTGCAACGCATTAATCAGGGTCTTTGCCTAGGGACGGTTTCATTCAGACAGTCCATAGTAGCAGAAAGCAATAGCATGGATCGGCCTGTTCGTCTGTACGTTTTGCTTTCCCACATACCGCCCGCGTGCGTTCTTGCTTGGGTCTCATGATCCCAATGACGCGCCTTCGCGGATGTTTCTCCTTGATTCATGGTGGTGCCAAGAATCCACTTCCCCTGCATTTCAGCACCAATTTCGTCCGTCTGAACTCTCGTCGCCTCACGGCGTGACAGCACCCAAGACACAGCCATATTACAAGTACACCGACGATATAGTGTACATTTCACAAAACGCGGTGAAGGATATACCTCCCCTGTCAGTCTCTGCGAGAAAAAAAAAAAAAAAACTCATCGCTACTCTCAAGCGAAATATCCCCCAGGCTGACTCGCGACTCGATCTCATTCAATAACCAAGAAAACGATAAATTGATCTTCCCCGAAATCGACATTCATTCCCGCGTCTTTTCACCGGCCGGATCCCCTGGTGGTGGCGAAGCTTCTCAAGTCCCTCTTGGCGAAATGGAATCGGCTCCGCTTGGTGGTGGAGACGTCTTGATGGAAGGCGTCGAAATGTTCCAAATTGGGTCATGGCAGTTCCGTCAAGTGGACCCTTCCCCGGCCATTGGCTCACCACTTTTTGCCCACAGTTTCGAACGGTGCATGCCGTGTGTTTGGTTCGATCTTCGCTTGCCCTTGAAGCTCTGGAGACTGGAGCTCCCTATTTTTTTTTTTCACTGCCAGCCAGCCAGGAAGACTCGATGCCTCAGCCCCAAAGTCCCAAAAAGCTTGAACGATTTCAATGGGGCCACCGTTCGCTCAGACGCGATCGAAAGAGCACTGGCTTTACTGGGAGCTTCCCAGACCGCCCCAGATGTTGCGTGAGAGGCTTCCACCGTCGCTTCCGTTCTCCTGGGTTCCAGGACTCCCCCGTCGGTCTGGCCTGCTGGACGTTGTCCAACCACCGTGCTGGCTCTTCAATGCTGTGCTGCGACTTGAGCACCGCACTCGACAGCGAACAACAGTCGCCAGAAGCAGTTTGTCGTATAATTACGCACGCGAGAAATCCAACTTGCGTTTACAACATACATATGCCGTCGGCGGCGAGCTACCCCTTCCACACTAGTGCTGACGTCCAATAGGCGTCTGCCTACAGCCTGCAGCACAGCAGGCCATTAGGCGCTCATCCGTGCATTCGCCGCCCAAGCTCCCTACGCCGTCGTCCACTAAAGGATCAGCCCAGCCGGCAACTTCAAGCCGTCTGATGGTGCTGCTTTGTTCCAAAAAAGACGGACGGTTGGTTCTAGGCTCTCTACCTCCACTGCTGGGTTCATCAGCCTCAATTATGGCCAGTGGTCGGTTACTCATTATGTTATTAACTATATATAACATATATATAGTATCTATGTGAATAAAATAGCTTAATTCCTTCTAAATTAGAGTCTAACGTAAGGGGTCTTTTAAGGAATAGATCCTAACGTACTAGAATATTATTAGTCTAAATAAGCAGGTTAGAAGTAGGTCACCTCACACCTTCCTCTAGGCGTAAGGCTGCCTCAGATGCTTGAGGGCATCACAACATATCGTTTATTTTTCGACGCCGACGCTACGCCATACGAACGGTGAAAGAGCTCTCAGTATGTGGGAAGGTGCCGCAGCACACGATGAAAGGCTGTTGAGTTTGCTCACTAAAGAGCTCAGCCTCTTTTTCCCGTTGGGTGCCGTGAAAGGAACACAAACCGGCGACGTCATGCTGATAGGCTATGAGCCACCCGGCAAGATTGCCAATTTCGAGGGTCAACGTCCGCGGGTTCCCTCCGGCAGTGGGAAGTTTTTCCCCGGTCGGCGACGGGAGGCCGTCTGCTGGACCCACCTGTCGGAGCGCGCGCCGTCCGTTTGACTGTGCCGAGGTCTGCTCATGGTTGACTGTCTGTTTGTCGTCTACGGTGGGTGGCCTCCATGAAGCCGCCGAATCTTCCAGCTTCGATGCGGTTCATATTCTTGAGGATGAGTTTGGGTTGGAGGCTCACGCATGGACCACGAGAAAGGCCGATGTTCTCACTGGGCCCATCAGAAATCTCGAAACGGCTCAGAAGCATCTGCTTAGAGGGCTTGATCAATGGGAGACGGTCTCGAGCGAAACCGGGTTCAAGACCACCCAACCACCGATGATGGTAGGCTTCTAAATGCTCGCTGAGCAGTCAGCCATCGTATACTCGGAGCGCGCGTATCCATGTTCCTGTTGATACAACAACGACAAAAAGTAGGAGGTAAGCATAGGCCATCAATTTGACACATAAATCGCACCTGAACTTCGCCATTATGTCTAACCAGAGCCGCTGCTATCAGAATGATAACGGCGACATCAAAACGGGGAGGCCTAAAACTAACAGCACTCATAACTTGGAATCAAGACGAAGCATTCATTTCGCTCTATTCCCCGCTCGTGAAATGTTTGGTAGTAATACAAGATATAAGAATAACATCATCGACTCTCCGACATAGACTGCCTACTCTTCGGTGGCGGACTAAGCGGCGTCGGGCACTCCAGATCAACCTCCTCCTCACTAACCCCAAAATAATACACATCGTCATCCGAATCTCTTTCCGTCAGCGCGACACTCATATGCCTCCTCAGACTCAGATTCCTCCCTAGTCCCCTGCCGAAACCGCCCAGGCTTCCGTCGCTGACGATACTGCTCCGCATACTCCTTGTCCGCCGCGGTACGCCCGCGCCGCCACCGCTGCTGACCGTCGCCTCGCTCGGCCGCCGCAGCCCATTGATCTCCAGCACTGGCATCTCCACCCTTGCCGGCGACGATGGGTCCGTCGTGACGAGCGTCACTGGTATCGTCGGTGTGCGCATCACCGTCGCGAGCACGGGCACCGGTTCGATCTCGTCCACGTCGCCGTTAAGGGTCGAGTTGTCGCTTTGTTTGCGGCTGCGGTGCCAGAAGCTAGAGCGCGGTTTGCGGATGACGACGACGTCGGATTCGCCGCTGATGGAGGAGGAGCCGCGGTCGGCGGTATGGGCGGTGCTGATGCGCGGAGCGCCGCTGCCGGCGGGGGGCGGGAAGGGGTTCATGAAGGACTCGCGGGGCCCGGTTGTGTTGGCGGAGTAGTGGGACGGGTGGGAGAGGGGCCGCAGGGTGGGGATGCAGCAGCAGATTATCGCGACGGAGAGCTCGGTGATGGACCAGATTATTGTAGGGGTTTGGTTGTATGTCTGGTCCATGGAAAGGTGGAATTTGGGGATGGTCGCGATTCGGATGATGGAGATGGCGCAGGTGCTTTTGGGGTTGATGCGTTAGTCCCTTCCTCCTTTCATGTATGGCAGAATAAGGGGGGTTCTCACAGGAGGCCGAGCGCGAAGCTGGCAATAAGGGCGAGCTTCTGGGTCCTCGTCATTTGCAGACGACCCAGAAAGGGAATCGGGATGATGAAGATGAGGACGTTGGTGATGAGGTGTATCGAGGCGTTGGCCATCCACCAGCTCATGACGTTGATCGGCGTGTCGAAGAAGGTGTATCTGTAGATGAGGTCGAAGCTGACGCCGGCGCAGACCAGGAGCTGGATCCCGAAGAGGGCGAGGAAGCAGATGCCGATGTTGCACAGGAGCTCGACTTTCGAGTACGGGAAGACGCGGCGGTATTGGAAGAGGAAGGCGATTTTGATGGTGACGAAGGCGACCTGGTACACGATGATGACGAAGAGGGATATCTGACGAGGGTCAGATGCTTTCTAGGAGATGTTGCTGGATGAGTGTTGTTTGAGGTAAGTACCTTTTGGCCTTTGATCAGGTTCTTGATGGAGTTCATCCATATGTGTTTCCCCAGTCCGAATCTTGTAGCTGATGTTGCGGTGTTAGTTGAGATGCCCACAGCAAACGGGAGATTGGTAACAGTGTCTTACCTACGCACAACATGGAGTTGTGTAAAACCACGGCAATCTACCCATTCCACTCAGACGTTAACAACTGTCTTCCCTCCGGACCCTCCCGACCTCATCTCACTTACAAAAGCAGACGCGAGCAGGGTATCGTCCGCCCCCCATTTCCTAATCATGAACGCCCGCACATACACCCGCAGCGCGACGAACACAGTCGCGACGACGGTCATGACGATCCCGATCGCGAGGATCATGTCGGAGCGGCTGTCGAGCGAGCCGGGCGGCAGCGTGCCCTCCCATGGTGCCGCTGACGAGGCGTCGTCGGTGCTGTTCGCCTCCATGTCCTTCACCGGCCCCGTGCCGTTCCAGATCAACATTGGCGTGGGCGGCGGCGGCGGCGGCATGTGAAGTGTCTACCTTCGACGTGCGCAAGGCATTTGAGAGGGCTGGGTCCCGTCGTTCGAGTGACGGGACTCTCCAAGTCGGTTCGCTTTTCCTGCCTTCGTTTTCCTGCGTGGTTTTGTGTTGGCGAGGTTGTGGCCTCGTAGCCGTCGAAGAAAACAATATCAACACACCCGGGAATGAAGATCAGATTGAAAGGGGAAGAAGGAGGAAGAGAAGGGAAAAGGACCCCTTGGCAAGCAGCAAGGAAGGGGGCACGCTCAAAGGGTAATATCAGACCGCAAAGGCAAGGGCAAGGCGTTGGATAGAGTTGGCGCTACAAAGGGCTTTCTGGGTCGCACCGCACGCGTTCGGTAGATGTCTCGCCCGGAGTTGTGCGTCGTGTCTTCCGGATCCGGCGATCTGGGACAGGACTACCCACCCGCAAATGGGCCGCCGATTCGCACCCACCCAACAACACAAGAAGCGAAGTGCGACAAGCAATCGCCGGTGCTCCGTTTTGTAGAAGCAAACACCGAAACAAGTCCCTTGAAGGGCTTTCCGCTTCCAACCTAGAGCATGTCGTCAAATTCGGTCTTGGCATTTTCGTCTACGCTTTCGCGAGGGACGGAAGACCGGCTCTCCCCTCCCCTTCCCCACTGCTATCGCCGCATCACAGCGTGTTGTCTCACTTCATTCCCGCAGGCGTTTGGTTTCGACAGAGACAGGCTCTCGAAAAAGCTTATCATCAGGACATCAGTTGTTCTAGACTTGGCAGAGAAGCACTTTCCTGGAATTCTGGCCTGAAGATACTACGTCTGTCTCTCGTGCTGCGTTGCGGACGAAAAGATTCTTAACACCTGACTCGACCGACAGAGAGGAGCCTAAGGGCGGGATCTACTCTGAACATGTCAAGATCCAAGTGTGATCGATCTGTCAAACAAGCCACATGACGCAGATGGGGCCGGGGGATCGCCCGAGCTATTGGGACGATGCTTCTGCTTGTGGCGCCGTGGCGCTTTGCGAGGGATTCGGATAGAACTTTGTTCTGCCAGCTGCTTGGGTCGCGAGAGGTTCGCGGATGTGGTTTGCATCACAATGGAACGCAGCGATTGCTCGATTTGGAGGTTCCCGGCGGATGGCTGCGGATCCCGATATCTCGGGCCGGGATGGTCAGTATGGACTATATATAGTGATATTCAAGATCGTCGTTTCCTTTTTGCTCTTCGCACAGATTATTAGCTGTTCTCGGAATCACATTCCAGCCCGGGCCGGGGTTCTACGATTACTGCAGATAGTCCTGGTCCAAGGGCTGGCTAATCAGAGGTCGGTCGGAGTCTTTATCCTTATAAAATCTGCCCTCTTCACAGAAACTCTGTTGAGTGATAGGCATTTCTGAGAGCGGGTGAAACAGCAAGGGACTTGATGTTGGACTGGCTTGATCTATTCAGTCAACCCGTAATCCTGCCTTCTTCACCAGGGGTAGTATCTTCTGCCCGAAGTAATCCAGATCTGGCGCGAAGTCGTAGAAATTCGCGACAACACCGTCAATCCCAATCTTGTGCAAAGCCTCGAGCTGTTCTACAACCTGCTCCGGGGATCCGATAATCTCAATGTTTCCTCCAATGTTTAGACCCTGCTTCTCCTGCTCACCCTTGCGTCCCCGCCACGCGTGAGCATCGCTGTCATAGTTGCCGTTCGCGGTGCCAAACTTCTTCGTTCCAGTCTGCACCTTGGTGCCCTCAGCAATGCTCCTGGCGTACGCCCATGCCTCTTCGGGCGTATCTCGAGATACAATGATGGGGTTGATGAGAATCTTAACCGCGCGCCCTTTAGACTTGACAACCTTCCTGATCGTGGCAATATGAGCCGGCAGCGTCTCCAGTGCGCTTTCGATATTCGCTGTCCCAGGCGACGTGATGAAGATTAGATCAGAATACTGCGCCGCAAACTCGATCCCGGCAGGAGACCCCGTGGCATTGATCAGAATTGGCCTGCCAAACTCCGGCTTGGGGGTGATCCACGCATTCTCCAGCTGCCATGACGACACCCTGCCCTTGTACGATAGATTCTCCGTCTCCCCCCACAAACTGTTCACGACGTCAAATAGCTCCCCAGCCATCTCATACCGCTTGTCGTGCTCGATGCGCTGGCGCCCAAACATCTCATGCTCGACCGCGCGGTGGCCCGTCACGACGTTGATGCCCCAGCGGCCCTTGGCGACGTGGTCGAGCGTGGCGCCGTATTTTGCAATGTGCAGCGGGTGCAGCGGGCCGTAGAGCACGTGCATCGTGGAGATGAGCAGGATGGAGCGCGTGACGGCGGCCATGGCGCCGAGGGCGACGAAGGCGTCGAGCGAGGCCTCGCCGTCGTAGCCGCCCTTGGGCAGCCACTGCGTGCGGCTGAAGGCGAGCTCGAAGCCGAGGGCTTCGGCCTTGCGGACCAGGTCGAGGTTGTAGTCGAAGGTCCAGGTGTTGCTGGTTGGGTGGGTTGAGATCTTGATGTCTTGGAGGTTGAGGAAGAGGCCGAGGAGGAGGGGCTGGCGGGATGCTTTGGATAGCGGGGAGGAGGGGAAGTCGAAGGGGCCTTTGAGGGTTGGGCCGCCCTCGCGGACTGATGTTGCGGACATTTCCAGGAATGAATTAGGGAGATGATTTTTGAAAAGGGAGTGGTCCTCATACACTTTGATACCTAGCACATTCCTACATCGTCAGTTGGGATGTGAACGATATTATGTTCAGTAAGTCGTGCTGGTTATGTAAGTTGATGATCACGCATGAGTGAGGAGAGATGTCGAAATCGCATCCTGCATGTAATCGTCCGATCAGTACAGCTTATCGCCGCCGTCGGCTGACTTCGAGCACGCCATCGGTATTTCGACCCGGAGATTTTGGGTGCCATCTGCTTCATTCTCTCGGAGTCGGCACACGTAGGAGGTCATCATGAGCTGGGGAAAAAGACTCTAATTGTATTGTGAAGTGGCGTTTGTCTAGAAACTCAAGTCAGGAAAGACGGTGGGTTTATAAACACATGAAGAGCTACCCTAAACACCCTCCCAGAAGAAGGTCTTTGGCAGATGGAAACTGGCTCGTTGAATTTCATCCTTCGGGTTGGAGCTGGACGCAACAATTACCACATACTCTCCAGCCTCTGCCAGCCACTTCGACCGCTCTTGAGACCAGTATGAAAGCGAATACTTGTCAAGGACAAGTTCGACAGTCTTTGTCTCGTTTGCAGCCAGATGCACTTTCGTGAAAGCCTTCAGTTCCCGAACGGGACGCTGGAGGGTGCTCTCGGGATCATGGATGTAGACCTGGACCACCTCATCACCATCGTAAGGACTCTTGTTCGTGACATCCACAGAGATCGTCATCTTGTGTCCGGCAGACGGCTCAAACGTGCTAGGGACCTGAACCTTAGAGTACTCAAACTTCGAGTACGAGAGGCCATGTCCGAAATAAAAGAGCGGATCGCGGTCGACGACTTCGTAGTATCGGTGGCCGATGAAGACGCCCTCGCCGTAAACGATGTCGTAGTCCGTCTTTGAGAAGTTGAGGTAGGCGGGCGTGTGTTTGACGGACTTCGGGAACGTTTGCGAGAGTCTACCGGACGGGTTCGTCTTGCCGAAAAGGATGTCTGCGAGTCCGTGACCGGTTTCTTGTCCACCGAACCACGCGTGGACCAGGGTGGCAGCTTGTGACTCCCACGGCATCTCGATAGGGCAGCCAGATTGCGTGACGATGATCTGTGGTTTTGGTTATGGATGTGGTCTGAATGGCATCGGGAGATGTACTCACTGCATTGGGGTTAGCTGCAAGAACTGCCTGGATCAAGTCGTCCACACGGCCAGGCAACCTCAGATGCTTACGATCAGCACCCTCGTACTCAAAGTCGGATGAAAGACCAGTGACGACGATCGGAACATCAACGCTCTTCGCCAGGTCGGCTGCCTCTTTAATAGCAAGGTCCTCGTCGATGATTTCGAAGCCACCCACGCGACCGGCAAGGGTGAGAGCTGTGCCGACGCCGCCTGCCAAGTCCTCGTTCACCTGTACGACCTCGATGTTGATGGCTTTACCCTCAGTAAGCGTTGTGTCACAGAACTTCTCCATCGAAAGCCTGTTGAAGCATGGCGTGGGACCAGTTTTGGGTGGTTGTTCCGTCCACAGATCAATAACTTCCTTGCCGTCGAGCCTCACTTTGCCCTTTCCTGATGTGCTGAAGCCGAAGCGGAAGGGACCAGTGATTTCTGGTGTGTACACCGCCCGGGCCCTGGCGTAGAATTTCTTCGGCAGGGTCGCATGAAAGCTCTCGGGGACGTCGATTAGTTCTTTCTCTGCTGTCGCAGAAAGCAGAACCTCGGCGTTGGGGTTCTCATCTGGGTTCTCTCCGAAGACCTCGATTGACCACCCGAAGCCCTCTGCGTTCAGGGGCTTCAAGTTTTTCAGCAGGGGGCTGAATCTGAAGGCTAAGCAAATTCAGCATGCAATCGCTATGCGCATCTTCAAGTATTGACTTACAATGGCATCCAAGAGCGTACGCAACGTTCTCTTTCCCTGCCTCCTCTATGATGGCGTCATACGGCGTGACGGAATAATAAGGCTCGACCTCAGCACTCCCACCGCCGCTCAAGGCGGGGTTCTTGACGTGATCTCCGATGAGCGCAATCTTCTTCTTTTCTGAGCCTTTGATAGGTAGCACCCCTCGATCGTTCTTCAAAAGCACAATACTATCGGAAACCAACTTCCGAATCAAGGCCTGCTGCTCCGGCGTATTGGAAGCAGAGAAATAGCCTTCAGGTTTCGTATCCATGACCTTGTTGGTGAGATTCAGTACGTTTCTAACACACTGGTCGACCGTCGTACGCATCACCTTACGACTGTTGACAGCCAGACTGAGGCACTTTCCTCTCCACTGCGTGGGCCCAGGCATCTCCAGATCAAGGCCCGCGTTGATGGCTTCCGAGGTGCTGTAGGTGCCGAACCAATCACTCATCACCAGGCCCTTGAAGCCCCATTCATCCCTCAGAATCTGCTTCATGAGCAAGGGGTCTTCGCTGACATGGATCCCGTTGATTTTGTTGTAGGAGGTCATAAATGTCCAAGGGTCCGAGTCTCGCATGACCAGCTGGAAAGGCATCATGTGAACCTCTCGTAGCGTACGCTGCGTCATGCAGACGTTGTCCTCAATGGAGTTGTCAGATTGATCGTGGGCAGCGTAGTGCTTCACGCTCGTTGCGACTCCGCGTTCCTGGACGCCATTGATATACGCTGCTCCCAAAATGCCGCTCAGATAAGGGTCTTCCGCGAAGGCTTCGAAGCCACGGCCAAACAGTGGAGATCTTTGCAGACAGATTGTAGGTGCCAGAAGGACATGGACACCTCGAGCCCTGGCTTCTTCACCCAAGAGGTTTCCGACTTTGTGAAGCAGCTCCTTGTTGAAGGTCGCCCCCATGCCAGTTGCGGAGGGCAACATGGGACTCGGGTTCTAGAGTCACTTAGCCCAACTCGAGTATTGTGAGGCCCATGAGTTGCACGCTTCACTCGCAATCACTTTGATTCGGAGTACTCACCCGATGAAAAGCTCGGCGACCTCGAATTCCATGAGGTCCATCCGATGTCTAGGTTAGGGTAAGACAGTTGATTCCCCGCCCGAGAGGGTGCCGCAACTCACTATCAAGGCTGGAATTCCGCGATGAGGGAGACCCGTTGTCCTGAATGACCCTTGGCCGGCAAGCAAGTCAATCTTTTCCTCCAGTGTGAGTTGGCTTATCAAGCCTTCCACATCAAGTGGATTGTGGTCGGTGGCCATGGCGAATTCGGGGTGCACAAGTACCGGGTAACGCGGGGTTGAACTTGGACTGGTACTAAGAGGTACTCTGATGAATTCGATCGGATCTAACGAATTTGAAGTACAAGTCCAGCGTCCTAACCGACTTCTTGAATCAGAGAGTTTCTTTCAATGGATCACAGGATCCAAGCATCTGAATCTCATCTGACGGCTCCGGTACCGTGGCACGCTCCTGATTCGGAGTAGCGTCGGAAAATGAGACGGAATTGCGGGAGTCGGGGGTAATGCGTCAGCAAAAACACGCCGCAGTTTGCTCCAAGAGAGTGCCTTTCGGGTATTTAGGCTAAACTCGCAACCTCCGGAACCCTGTCGGAGCACTGCCGGAGCCCACGGGGCTCCACAAATACGCCGGCCGAAGTGTACCCGGGCGCCGTGACTGGCTCAACACGGCGAATGCCAATGCCGCTGACTCCATTCGGGTAAACCCCTTGCCAGCGGACTCTCCGCCAATATTGGGGTTTACACGGAAATATGAAGCCCCGCGTGATGAATGCCAAGAAGGCTTTGCTCAGAAATGGGGTAAACTTCGGCAATAGAATTGAAAGGTTCTGAACACTAATTAAGACTCTAGTTTGTCGCCGAAACCTTACAACCGCCCACCGCCGCGACAGATGGTGCCATACGGGTTTCCCATAGACTTTGGTGAGGACCTCGACTAATTCCAGCTCCATGTGCTCTTGAGATAGTCCTGCGAACTCGCTGTTGGCCACGCCAGATCGATCTCGGTCTTGATAAGAAGGTCAAGCAGAGCTTGCTGCTCCACCCGATCTGTAAATAAGTCGCCGCCTTGATCCCGATGACATGTCGGAGATACGGATACACGACACGAGAGAGAACACAACTTTGACTTACATAGCATTATCACCGTGTAGGCTTTGAATAATGCCGGCCGTGTGTGCGTATTAGATAATGCGATGCCGCATATTTTTCCAACGTCGTCCCGGATAATATCCTGTCTTGGCGTCAATGACAGCCGCTATCTGAGAAACGGAGAACAGGTACGTCTGTAAGTTTCATTGCCTTGACCCTCTCTGGTCCCACGCGTGGATATAACGGGCTATACGCCGTCAGCAGAATATGGCACATTAAATAATAAATATGACCGGCCACTACGTAGTCCGTGTAAGCGAACTGTCAATACAAAACAACGACCATCTTCGTTTCACTTACCGTGGCAGTCATTGAGAAACCAGATATCCGGAAATACCCGATCAGATTCGTTTCTTTCCCGGCATTGAAGAGGCTCGAACGAGATAGGTTTCTTTTCCAGCCAATCCTCAGCCCTCGCAGAAAGCTCAGTCCAGGACTGTGCAGATTCGTCTCTGGGGCTGCAGTAACAGTGATTTAAGAGCTCGGCGCAGAGCACAATGATGTAAATCGTCCAGTCCCAGTCGTTCTTTAGCTCAGCAACGCTCCTGAAGCCAAGGCACTTCGTCAAAAGCTGTGTCGGCTTCCTTGTTGAAAACGCCACATTGATTTCTTGTCGAAGTGCTTGTCGAAGTGCAACTAGGAAGGCTGCTCGGCGGATCCCGGAAGTTTGGTACTCTTGTGCGAGAACGAAAAGATGGATTCCTAGAAAGTGGCTACGCGTGTCTTGCCCTAACAGAGGTACTGAAAAGTGCGAGTGAACATTAGAATCCACAGGCATTACGTTATAAAATGTGAGCGCTAGGTGCGCCTCCAGGCGGCAAACTGCGAAGAAAAAGGTTAGAAGGGAAGAAAGACGTACCGTAAAGCTCTTCATATAAACGAAGAATAACCGTTGCGGCGCAGATGGACTCGTGCAGTAGAGTACGTCGGTCATCAAGCATGGGTATGAGTAAGAAGAGACATTCACGATGATACCGATCTCCAATGTAAGAATCGTATCCGGTAGTGAGGCTGAGGTGTCGAGAAGACGTAGCTAAAATTGCTAACAGCAGCGTCGGGCATCCTACCGCCCTTTGGACGACGGTTGTTGAAAATGACCGCTCTGGGTCGCAATAATCGAACTGTTGAGCTACTCAGTTTTCTAGGCCATTGATCCATGACAAGATGTGGCTATGTACATACAAAGCGAGAGAGATCAGTAACAAAGTATCGTATTAAAGTGGGTTCGTCGGAGTTGCTCAGGTTCCAAGCATTTGATGCCTGTGACATTTGTGGATCCCTGTATAACGCGGAGAGCGTGTATCGGCTTCTCGTGGTAGCTGAATCTTGACGTAGGTCATATGGGGTCGAGTCAGATACGCCCCCCCTTTGCTCAAAATTAGACTGCCGGTCGCAGCCATTGTCAATGGGGGTGGCAGAATCTTCTCCTCCCAAGTAAGAACCCGACACACGGGGACTCGTGACGCTGGGACTTGTAGCGTGGGTAATCGTCAAATGGGGTACCGTCGGGGCTACGCCGCGAGGAGTTGTGCTGCGAGATGTAGTGTCATGAGGAGTTATGGCGTGAGAATCTGGTGATGAATTAGATGATGGCTCGGTCATCACCGTTGACGCCATAGTTTCATCAATATCCAGCCTCGATGTGATTGAGCAGTCGTCATCGGTTGCATCCAAGACAAACTCGACTAGGGGCCAATAAGAGTCAGATTCGAGATAGGTCTTCATGTTGCGTCAAATGCTATCCTTACCCTCTGACGGCATCTCTACCCAGATCTGCTCCGGAGGGAATTCGAGGGCTGATGCGGCTTCTTCTTCGGGATCCCGAGTGTCAGACAAGAAACGATATGCGGGGCCTCGAGCACAGTCTCTGTTGAGTCGCTTGCACCGACCGCATCTCGGCTTCTTTCTGTCACCTTGCAGTGAGTATAAGAGTCAGCTTCTACATCTAGAAATCAGATCCAGAGAATGCGTCACACCCACATTTCGAGTGCGCTGTCCGACAGAGCTCACTGCAACGCAAGGAGCCGTTAGCAGCTGTATCATTCGATTCTCGTCCCAACAATAATTATGGAGCCACAGGGTACAAATTGCGCCGCATGTCGTCCACTCACCACCCTCTCTTGACCCCGAGACCACGGCGCACAGGCATCTTCGGTTGGAGAGAAATCCTGGAAATGGCATTTAGCAAAGATTGTCGCGGAGAGGGACGGGAACGGAACTTGATTCCTTTTATGATTGAACCTGCCCCCACTTCCCCACCCTCCCGCTAGCTGCCTGCTGCCTCTTTAGGACGTATGGAATACATAATAGTACTAACCACTTGGCTGGGATCTGATCCCCCGTCTGCTTCCCCGCACTTTACCTGGTTTGTGGTTCCCCCTCGGCCAAAGATTAATGGACGAAGTGGGAAGTGTTTTCGTCGTTCAGCCGCATTTATCCTGCCCTTCAATTTATACCTATTCTCAGATCTTGCAAGACATTTACTACGTCTTGTTGGGCAAGACACAAGTCAGAGGATCAGGAGGCTTCACATAAGGAACCTGACGGTCACAAGAGGATATGTACATGATCTGGGAATAATAGTGACTCTAGAAACAAAAGAACTATAGTGCAGGCTATGTGATAATCAGGAGAAGTGGCGACTGACAAGCAGCCTTGATTAAGAGACTGGTAACAGTAGAGAGGCTTGATTTACGGGCTAACTGGGGAACAGCAGTCAAGATACATCATCTTGAAACTTAAGGTTGATTCTTAGTCTTCTAATGCGTAACAGATACAGCTTGGAGGGACAGCTTGGACTCAGACATCTACAATCCATCGCTGAGCTCAAAATCCTTGTCCCAGCGCTGGAAATAGTGTTAGGCTTACCTCTTCTCAAGAACAGCGGCGGGGGCTTGACTATTTACCTTATCCCATGGCCGAGAACCGTTGACGTATCGAAGGTCTGTTCCCAAACGAATACTACCCTGCGGGTCGTGGTTGACGGTAGACGCATGAATCTACACATGAGATAGCGTCAGTACATGTTCATGGCAATCGGTAGGGTGATCGTCATCATCCGCGTACCATGTGTGAGCAATGTAGGACCACATCCCCGGCCTTGTAGGCTGTCACAAACCACTTGGTTCCATGTGCCCTGGAGAATTCTCGCGGCGACTCTGACAAGAAGCCAGACTTCATCATGTTCGCGTTAAACGCACTCCGCATCTCTTGATCGCCCATTCCAGCCTCCTTAGCCTTGAGGGTGAAGTCCTCCTCAATTCTCTGGCCGATTTTGTCACCGCCTTCGAGGTAGATCAAGCCACCACCTTCGACGCTGATGTCGCCTATAGGAATCCAGGCTGTCACAGCTGTAGGCTCGTCGTATCTCATAAAGGTCTGGTCATAGTGCACGCCTATGGCCTTGTTGCCGGGAGTATTATTGCGAAGTAAGGTGCGTCTCACAGTCAGAGTATCGTGGCCCCATCCTGTCATCTTAGCCACGAACTCGCGTATTGCCGGATGGTTGCATAGACCGATGATGCCCTCCTTCTCTGAGCCGCAGTACCACGGCTCCGTGTGCGCCTTGATGGCTGCTTCGACAAAAATAGCGGCCTTATTGTTGCTGCCGGGTTGCACTTCCAGCGCGGCTGCGCCAATGCCTGGGTAGTCTGCCATGACGGCTGACGAATTAAATCGACCTTCTACCGCGGTGGTGCCGGGTTCCAAGATGCCAGTGGGCTCGAGAGATTTAAAGTAGGCTTCACGTGCATCGAGGACATCCTGGCGTGGTAGGAGGCCTTTGAGGAACACGTATCCGTCGGTCAGGTAGCGGTCGTAGAGCTCCTTCAAGGGCTCGGTGGGATACGAAGCCCTCAGTGGAGCAACATCGGAAGGCGCTAGGAGGCCATCGTTGGTGTGTAGCTGCACCCCATCAACTGTGGTGGCCGCGAAGGTATCTTGCTCGTAGTAAGGCATTGAGATCGACGGGACTGCGAGTTGTGTGTATGGGCTGTGTGCTTGTGTGTGACGGGAATAGGTTTGACGTGGGCTGTATTTCCAGTCTTTACTAGTGAGAATTTGTAAGAAAGAATTGCACTCATTGAAGCTGTGAGAACCAAGTTTTCGACCTCGCTCATATATACAGACTACTTCTAGTTGGATGCAGCGTCAAAACAGCACCCAAACCCTGACTTGTTGTCAAAGCAGGGTATACAAGTCCTAGCTGTTGGGGTTTGCCGAAGCAGGCTACCCGCCCCTGATCGTCGCCGCATTTAGGGTAGAAAAGCTGATGGGACAGCAGTGGCATGCGGGGTAAGATCTACATCTTCCGGGAGAGTCTCTGTCTTAAGCCGTCTTCATCAGGCAATGGTTTCCGCAGCAGACGAGATAGGTAGTCCGCACCGTCGTAGCCAGAGAGGACACGGCCTACGGAGACTTAATCTCGATATCATATACTAAGATACTTGCATAAATGAACTGGGAGCTACAGAGATGCCGTACCAGGTAGGATCCGAATTTGGTTGGGTTTCATTTGGAAGTGTGATCTCTATCATGCCTCAGTCTATCTAAATTGAGTAATGGTTTCCGCAGTGGAACAAACACTGTAGTAAAGCCTGGTGGATGCGCTATCGTTTACATCGTTCCTGCAACCCCACCTTGAGCTACAGGAAGGAGATGCTTTCCCTTCTTGAGTGTTCCAGACTAGAACCTCGTCGTATGTCCGCTACACTGCCATCGCAGTAATATTTATTCATCGCCTGACGATGCCTTGTCTTGTCAACCCCTATGCGGACTTCTTACCTTCCATCTTAAACTCCTTCAACATCCCTTTATCACAACATGTACTTCGCGACCCAATCCTGGGGCTGGCCGCTCGTGGCTGAGCGAGATGGCAGAAAATTCGACTTAGAAAGTGCCATGATCCAGGCCAAGCAGGCCGGCCTCCGAGGATGGGAGCACTACTTTGCAACCCCAGACGATGTCTCGACTGTTGTTGAACTGGCCCAAAAAGTCGGCCTTGAGCTACACTCGGCTTACATTCCTGGTGCTTTCCACGAACCTGAACTGGCTGAAGCCGCCACGAAGAACTTCCTCCAGGTCGCTGCGGCCTTGAGGGACGTGGGTGTGCGAACCCTGATTTGCAATCCTGACCCGTTGGACTGGGACAAGCCCGACTCTCTCAAAACTGAGGCCCAGCTGCATACTCAGCTTGCCGCCATCAACAAGCTGGGCGCAGCTCTTGCAGCCGCAGGCAGCCGTCTGCTTTACCACTCCCATGATCCCGAGATGCAGGGTGGTGCTCGCGAGTTCCATCACATACTCGTCAACACGGACCCCGCGTACATGGGACTCTGCCTCGACGCGCACTGGATCTATCGTGGCTCCAGTAACAGTCAGAGAGCGCTGCACGATATTATCTCCCTCTATGCCAACCGAATCGAAATGATCCACCTACGACAATCCAAGGATCACATCTGGACTGAATCGATTGGCCCCGGAGACATTGATTACCCTGCCTTGGCCGAGCACTTGAAAAGGCACAATGTAAAGGCCCTGATGACCCTTGAGCTAGGTGCAGAGAAGGGTACACCACACGAACTCACTCCTGTCCAAGCCCACACGCAGCCGATCCAATATCTCGAACCCATATTGCTGCCCTTTGCCGTAGAGCCGGACGTGACGACGGGCGACAGGTCGCTGCCGTGGAGGATAAACCTTATTGGGGCCGGCGCCATCGCACGCCTTCACGCCAACGCAGTCAAGAACATGAAGGACCTGGGTCCCTACCAGCTACTCGCCGCCGACCCGTCTCAGAAAGCCCGCAATGGCTTCAAGGAGGCCTTTCCTAAAGCCATCATGTTCGAGAGCGGGGACGAAATGCTTGCCAGCTCGCCCGTCCAGGACCGCGATATCGTCATCGTCGCCGTTCCCCCTATTTGGCATCACTCGACCGCCCTTGCTGCAATCCAGTCAAACCGCCATGTCCTCTGCGAGAAGCCGGTCACCATGACGACCGCCGAGCTCGACGATCTTCTCGCTGCCATCCAAAAGACAGGTCGCCATTTTGGCGATTGCAGCGTACGGTTCCTTTGCAACGATGCACTGGACCGCGCCCGAGAGATTGTTGCCTCCGGAGCCATCGGGAGTCCTTACCACGTACGGCTAGTCAACCGTATACCCCGTATTCGTTCCGGCATTGAGTTTCAACCGGACAGCAAATGGTTCTTAGACAAGGAGATTGCTGGCGGCGGTATCGGATTTGACTGGGGCCCTTATGACTTGGGAGTACTCTTTGATGTCCTGCGTCCTGTGGCGGCGACCATCCATCACGCCTTTATGGCCTGTCCCAAGACTGGTGCTGATCCGACTGACCAACCCATAACTGTGGAAACTCATATCGGTGCGACCTTGACTCTCAAGCTGGAAAGCGGTGCCGCAGTCACGCTCGACTATGAGCGCGCCAGCTGTGTCCACGGTGAACACGAGGCGACGCTGAACGTTGATGGTACGGCTGGGGGCCTAAGCTGGGAGTGGTGTCCTTCGTTTCAGAATAACGCAGTCAAGCTGACACAATATGTCGATGTTGATGGCATAGTGGACAAGCAGGTGGAACACTTCCGTACGTTCAGCTATGACGATGTCCATGGCCGTCCTCTGGTGGCTTTCGTGGACTTGGTCGCTGGCCGAAGAAGTGTCATTCTGCCCGAGAACAGGCTAAAGTTCAACTATTCAATTTTGGTGGCCATGTATAAGAGCGCTGCAGAAGGCAAGCCAACAGAGGTTCACTTATAGGGTCAGACAGCGTTTGACACTGTTGGCGTGGACCGGATTTTGGCAATTGAAAACTTGATGATTTCGATAAACAGTTGGCCTCATTTCCCTCCCCGTAAGCCATACAACAGGACTAATTTGAGCAAGGGAAGAACTTTTTGACTGTTGCAATGGTACTAGTGATGTGCGTGAATCAATTGGTTCGATCCTTTTGAAAAGAGTAACCAATACTGTAATTTGACTTTTAAATGGCAAACTTCACGTCTTGTGAACCCTTGGCATCGCCATCCTGCCTGAAGTTTTCCTTGAGTCACACCAACCCTTAACCAAGGCTGAGAAGGCGGCCACGAGATCGTATCAGATGCGGATTCCGACTGCGTACGGTGTCATCGCCATTATTATTAGGCCCGCCGTTCTGTTCGATCCATCCACGTCTGCCGAATTTGGCCACTGTTTCCGCTCCTTGAACACAGCTAATCCCCGCACTGTACACGTCAGCTGGAAGGTTACATATTCTGACCAGCAGCTCTGTCCTGTTTGCTTCAATTTCTGCTACCACGCAGAATTCATCAGAAAACCTGGATCTGGAGACTGTCACGATGGCACGCTGGAGAGTGGTCGGAATCAACTTCGACCACATGCACATGGGCGATCTTTTGCGCAACGCATCCGACCATCCCGACGTCGACATCGTAGGCGTTTGCGATCGCCAGGCGGATCGGATGAAGGATGCGGTCGCGGCTTTTGATATCGCGCCGGAGCTAGTCTTCAGTGACGTGGCGGAGTGCATTCGCCGGACCAAACCCGACCTCGTCATCCTCTGCCCGGCGACCGCGGATCACGCCGTTGCCTACGAGGAGTGCTGCAGCTTCGGGGTGGATGTCTTGATGGAGAAGCCGTTCGCAGCTAACATTCGAGACGCGAGGCGGATGCTGGATGCCAGAGAAGCTGCTGGAACGCGACTTGCGATCAACTGGCCTTCAAGATGGTTCCCGGCCCACGTCACGACGAAACGGCTGATTGACGAGGGGACGATTGGACAGGTCACCCAAGTACACTACCACGGCGGGAACCGCGGTCCACTCTACCACCTCGCCGACAAGGTTGAGGTCTCTGATGATGAGGTGCAGCGGAAGAAGTCGGACTCCTGGTGGTACAAGAAGGAGTCCGGAGGCGGATCGCTACTGGACTATCTCGGGTACGGGGCGACCCTGGGGACGTGGTTCATGGACGGACGTGCGCCCCTGAAGGTGACCACGGTGACGTCCGCTGGCGAGGGTATCGAGGTCGACGAGCACTCTATCACCATTTGCCAGTACACCACAGGGCTGTCGAAGTTTGAGACCCGCTGGGGCACCTTCACAGACCCTTGGACCATCCAGCCACAGCCCAGGTGCGGGTTCGTGGTGGTCGGTATCGAGGGCACGATTTCGAGCTACGACTATGATCCGCACGTGGGCGTCCAGACCAAGGACCAGCGTGAGATCACCAAAATCCCTGCTGACGTCTTGCAAAGCCCCTACCGCGATCCGATTGAGTATGTTCTTCACTGCAAGGAAAACGGCAAGCCGATCACCGGGCCCCTAGATCCCATGCTCTGTTTCACCGCCCAGCGCATTATCGACACGGCCGTGGAGTCTGCGAAGCAAGGCAAAACCTTAGAACTTCTTGAATAGTCTCGAATCAAGGTTCGTGGGATCCCCCAGAAGATCAAGCATGGTCTTTGTGGCCAACGTCATTGCAGCAGGCTCAGACTTCAAGCTTTGCTATTGGGGTCGTATGTTCAAGCCATATGGAGTATGTTAATCTTCACAAAAGATTTAAACGTGTAACATATAAAGATGAGGCCGCCTATTTTCCCTGTAATAAACTGACTACTTTACCATTATCGCTTATGTCGTCGTCGTAGTAGTAGTAGTAGTGGTGGTGGTTACTGTCGTTGTTATAGCTACTGTTAAGATTTCTTCCCCACATCACCGTGCTGACGCAAATGGCTTTCCAAGAACGGGGTGATGTTCTGAGGCAAGTCAACTATTGCTTTGGGGCGAGACAGGCATTTTCTACCCAGGTAAATTGTCACCCGACAGCAGGGAGACCGATAGGTGGCTGATTTGTTCCTTCTTAAATGACGTGATTACATATTGTCATTGCGACATGGCACCAAATTTGATGAGCGACATTATTTTCTGAGGGCTTCGGCACTGGGTTAAAATTAGATTCAAATTCAACACAGTTATACTGAATGTTTCCATATGCAAAGATTTCCATGGGAAATAAATTTCCCATCTTTCACTCAAACATTCTAGTTCTGTTATCCCCCTCACAATCGGTGGGATTTGGCAAGCTGGATATGCCTAGCCTAACGTCATGATGGAGAATCTCGCATCATAGCCCTAGTCGCGCCTAATCCCTGTTGCCACGCGACTTCGGAGGTCTTGCTTGTATGCGGGGGTCATGTTTGGTTGCAAGTGACAGCGAAGTGGATTGATGAATTCGATCTTTGAGTGAGAGTCGTCGGAAAGTGTCCGACATCGATCGTTGTCGGGTCATGGTATTGGTTGACTTGAAAGCTCGCCGCACACCATTGGAATACCTGCGGAGTAGCATAGTCCGTATGCCGGTGCGGTTCCGGCTACTGTCATACTGCGACGTGTTTGCGTGATCACAGGGCCCTACAACATGGGCATATACAGCGATAAATAAAAAAAATCCCGAAATCTTAAACTTCGTCGAGAAGGACTTATCCTGCCGTCTTTCGATCCTCACAAAGAAGCTGCAAAGTGACCATGGCGGTTTACGATGAACAGCGTGCGGCAAATGGCTCAGAGTCTATCGCCGAACGCTCTGCAGGCAGTGACTCTGACATATCCAGACCGTTGGAGGAGAACCTATGGATTCGCTTTATGAGTCTGATCGGATGGTACCCGTCCGACATGCCAAGCGAGGAAAAGCTAGTGGTGTTGAAGTTGGACTTATCGATCCTCATATTCGGCTGTCTATCATTCTTCACGAAATATCTGGATCAGCAATCTCTAACTAATGCCTACGTGAGGTAAGCTCATACCAATGCTTCATCGGTATGAAAACTCTCTGACTTTTGATCACCAGTGGGATGAGGGAAGAAATTGGGATGTGGGGCAATGAGCTGAACTACATCACCGCGACCTTCTGGGCATCTTACTGTGGCGCTATGATTCCGGCTTGTTATTTTCTCACAAAATATCCCGCAAATCTCGTACTGCCTTCGCTTGAGCTTGGTTGGGGACTCGCGACGCTGGGTTTAGCGTTTGTCAAGAACGTCGAGGCCATATATGCTCTACGCTTCTTCGTTGGACTCTTTGAATGCTGCTCCTTCACTGGGACAATCTACGTGATTGGTTCATGGTACAAGAAAACTGAAGTGGCAAGAAGAATCGCCCTATTCTTCATTTCGTCGCCTTTGGGAACGATGTTTGCCGGCTATCTGCAGGCAGCTGCGTATACAAACCTCAGCGGAGTTCATGGGATGTCAGGGTGGAGGTATGCAACCAGAGTGTTCTTCTGCAGAGGAGATACTCATGCTAACGACGAAAATAGGTGGCTTTTTATTATCGACGGAATTATTACCCTCGGAATCGCATTCTTGTAAGAGCAGCATCTGACTTTGGCTACTATCTCACGTACTGATCTCTCACAGTGGTTTCGTCATCTTCCCCGATGTTCCATCTCGCAAGAAGCCCTTCACTCTTACGGGCGCCGACTTCAAGATTGCACAGAAGAGAGTAGCAGGCTCAAGTACCCCACCTCAGCTCCAGCTATCAGCAAGCATTTTCAAGCGGGTGCTTGGTCGGTGGCATTTCTATGCGTTCGTCACCTTGTGGACCCTGTTTGACATGAACTTCGTTCCTGGAGGACAGCCGTTTTCCCTCTATCTCCGTGCGAACAGCCCAAAGCTCTACTCCATCGTTGAGGTCAACACCCTGCCGACAATCACGTCTGCAATTATGATAGTTGCTGCCCTCATTGCCGGAGTTGCGGCGGACCGACTCGGCGAGTTTTGGATTCCCGCCTTCGTAACAACAATCCCCGTGTTCGTTGGAATGATCCTACTTAACGTTTGGGACGTGGGCGAGAGCGGTAGGCTAGCCGCCTTCATGCTACAAGGGTTTATTGCTCGTAAGTTCTTCCTCAACATCGTTCCGCCGTGAGACTCTAACGTTTGTACACAGCACTGTCTCCCATGGGGATGGGCTGGGCCACTACTATCATGTCAAACGATGCAGAGGAGCGCGCAGTAGTAACGGCAAGCATGAACGCAATAGGGCAGGGTATCATGGCTGGAGCACAAGTCGCGCTTTTCCCAGCGACAGGTGCCCCGCGATGGATACTTGGGTTCCGCAGTAGTCTAGGCACGACCGTTGCACAACTATTCATGATTCTCCTCATACTTTATCTAAGCAGGAGGGAGGCAAAAAGTCGCCGCCTCGCAGAAGATGTACTAGTGGTTGAGCAGGAGCACTACGAAACACGGGAGGAGGCTAAGGTTTGATCCGGATCATTGGCCGACGTAGGAATAATCCAATCCTTTTGCTCATTCTGGGCAGGGTTTATTCACAAAAAACTAGACTCCGCAAAGTAGATGATTCAATTCAGTGCAATAAATGAGAGTCCTGCCATAAAGAAAGAGCCGAAGTCAACCGATAACATGTTAGTTTGCTTTCATCTTGAACATCTCGGCGAACTGTGTCTCTCCAGAAATGAGAGATTCCGGGGTATCAAACTCGAGAAGTTTTCCATCTCCCAACAGGGCAACCTTACCGTAGTGGGTGACGTGCTTGAGCCTGTGCATTACGGCAAGAACTGTGCAGTCTCTGAAGTCAGAATCAACGATATCCTGCATTATTGCCTCTGTCTCACTGTCCACACTTGAGGAAATGTCAGTAACTGCATGATGACATTTTTCTCGTCAGAGCACTTACCTGCTCATTGCCTCATCCAATATCAAAACTTTTGATTGTCGTAGCATGGCTCTGGCCAAGCAGAGAAGTTGCTTCTGGCCAGCTGACCATGCGTTGACGTTCATTTCTGCGTCCAATCCACCCTGGTCTTGCACGAGTGACCAAACGCCAACTCTTCCAAGTACTTCAACGAGCCTGTCGTCATCTAGACTATTTCCGTAAGGGTTGAGGTTGAAGCGAATGGTCCCAGGCATGAAGAATGGATCCTGGGGAATGACGTTGATGGATGCGCAGAGCTCGGATTGCAGTAAGGTCGAGACATTAACCCCGTCAATGTCGATCCTCCCTTCTTTCATGTCTGTCATTTGCAGCAAAGTCATGATCAAGGAGGTTTTGCCACTTCCAGACCGGCCGCAAATCGCTACATGCTGGCCGCCTCCGATAGCCAGCGATAGTTTCTTGAGAACAGGTGAAGCGTCAGACCTACCAAGGGGTTAGCTGTACCATTCTATCAAATCGAGTCAAGAGGTTACAAGTAGTTCTTACCCATAAGACGCCACAACGTCCGAAAACGTCACAGCTCCGGTTTGCGGCCAGTTCACTGGCGGTGTCCATCTTTCAGCCGCCGACTCAGTTTCAGTGTCCGATACGAATCGTCTCACTCTAGCGACCGCACCGATGCTGGACTCCAGCTTTGTCCAGCTTTGAATGAGACGAGCCAACACCTCGCTGAAGCCAATGATCATAACGAGGCTGACACCGACGCTTCCAGCGCTAAACTTGTGGTGCCACGTTACGACAATAACAACCAGAATCACTACTAGGACGGCTACGATCAGGTTAAGAACAAACGTGAGCCACGCCTGAATACAGCCCTGGGTGTAGCTGGGTCTCTGCGATTCATCAACATGCTCGTAATTGCGCTCTTGGTACTGTTCCTGCCACCTAAAGGCCCGAATCGTAGCAACTCCAGCCACCGACTCGGAAAAGTGGGTGTAAAGAGGTGCTTTCGCCTCAATACCGAGGAGACGGACTTGCCGCGATGTCTGGAGATAGAAGCGTTGCAGAAAGTAGAGGATGGCGCAGAGGAATGGTAGGGTAGCTCCAAGATACTGGGATAATACGACCAGGATGATAACCTTAGCAAGTATTGTAACGCCGGCTACGAGAACCTATTGTTAGTTGACGGCTTCTGTGGAAGGTGTCGCCGATACTCACTTGATGTGTAGTTTAACAAGTTCGATGGTAAGTCCATATCCAGCAGCTGCATATCCTCACTAAATCTGCGAATACGTCAGGTACTGCCAAAGACCGATCTAGCCAGTGAACCCTCACCTGTTCAATAGCTCTCCATTGTCTATCTTGGAGAAGAAAGCAAATGTTGCGCTGTACCCGCGAAATTAGTAGCCGCATACATAGTCATGAGAATTGCGAAAAGGCTGACTTACGAAACAGTAGTCTGAAGAAGGTCTGAATGCAATTTCAATGCTGTGTTAGATATGATGTCGATGAATGCGAACCAGGCGGCGATCGAGGAACTGAGTGTTCCCAAAACCCCGAACAAGGCATAGATACCCATGAAATATCCGACGTCCTGGTTTGCATTAGAAGAATTTGACTCGGACCACCATTTGACCCAAACGGCTGAGTGCCATGAGTCAGCTCTGTGTGCCTCGTGTCTTGCTGTGTTGCTTCAAGAAGACTTACTAGAGAATTCCGAAAAGAAAGACCATGACGTGACAGCTGCCGTGTACATGACAATAGCCTTCCAGCCTGCACTTTTCAAGTAGTAAAGGTAAATTGCCTTCTCGCCGTTCTTCCGTCTGACATCCGTGTGCTTCTGTTCTCTAGGATTCTCCATTTCAGATGTTTCTCCCTGGTGTTTCTCAGAAACCTCGGGCTCAACAGAGCATGCGGGATCATCGGCAACATCTTCGTTAGAGAACAGCATGAGCCCAAGCTTGCTGACGTAGCCTTCACCTTGCATTAGGTCCATGGGGCTGCCTACTTCTTGCACTCTGCCACCGTCCAGGGAGATTATGGTATCGGCTAGGCCCATGATCCTGTCTAGATGCCTGTTAGAGTATGCTGCACTCCATGGACAAAGCGACCTACGGCTGTGAGTTGCAATAATAACGGACGCGCGCTGTCTCCGTAGAAGTCCATCACGTCCGATCAAACAGGTTGAGACATGATGCGCTGTGCGGGCATCCATCCCACTGAAGATGTCGTCCAGAATAACGATGCGCTTTCGGGCATAGATTCCCCTTGCCAAAGCCTAGATGCCAAATGTTAGCGCATGGCCACGGCAGGGTAGAAGATTAGGTCCTTTTCTGTCAATAATACTCACAATGCGCTGCTTTTGGCCGCCGCTGAGGTTGCCGCCTTGACTGCCAACAAGAGTGAAGTCACCCATCTTCAAGGCTTGAAAATCGGGTTCAAGCCCGCATGCAAGCGCAACGGTGTCATACCATTTCTCTTCGTAGGCCGAGACACCGAGGATATTCTGTCGAATTGTTCCGTTCTCTAGCCATGGAGTTTGCGAGCAGTATGCGATCTCTTCACTGCAGCCTATTTCATTTCCACATCTGTTCGTCATCATCGGCGATGTTCTGATCATGTTGCCCAGCATGGCGCTGAGGAGATTTGACTTTCCGCTTCCAACAGGCCCCACAATGGTCGTGACAGTATTGGGCTGGATTTGAACGTTGATTTCATGAAGTAAACTCTGCTCTTCCTTCCAACCAAAGCTTTCACCTCTGAAAGACAAAATAGGTTCTTGAGAGGGATGGCTGGACTGCGGTAGCTCTCTAGACCTCTTCCTCGCTGGCAAAGCTGTCTGGGAACTTGAGGAAGATGGGTTGACAGGCTGATCTGTGGTCTTTCTTGGAGAGCTGTAATTACAGAAATCCTGAATGCGATCGAAGCAGGATAATGATTGAACGACCATGGGCAGGATCTGAATGAAGGCGACGACCGGTGTAGTTAGCAAAGATATCAAAGCAATTGACGTGAAAGCCTGCGCCGGCAACAAGGTATCGTTCTTCCAGTAGACGGAGATGATGACGTAGATACCGAAGGTCACGATAGGGGCGAGATTGATCGGGCTCAGGGCTAAGCTTTCGGGTCAGCGACAACTACTGAAAAAGGGTGTGTGAGTCTTACAAAGCAACAATGTCGCTACCAACAACTTCCTGAAAGACTTCGAGGTCTCGATCTCGTCGGTGCGGTGATTCTTGACCGTGTTCGACATGACTTGAGTAAGTCCTAGCATCTTTACAGCTTTCATCTCACTGAGCATTGTCGTGGTCACTCGAAGGCGCTCTTGTATCTTTTCAATCCAGTGCTTTTGAGCTGTGTTCGTGGCCACCGATACCTTGGACATCGCGGCAATGAATACTGAGCCCCAATGGTCAGCACTGCTGGGTTGAAAACCGAAAGTTTTTGTCTACTCACCCAGAACCAATATGATTGGAGCAAGGCACGCAAGTGAGAGCTGGAGCCCGAGAAGCCAGCTTGCAATGCTGATATCAAGCAATGAGCTCCAGAGCAAGTGAAATACAGACATTGACATGTGAATGCGCTCTACGTCAGTGCCCATAAGGGCAACCGCAGTTATGTCGCCCGTGTCCGCCTCTCGAGTGTTGATTGCCTGCTGATAAATGAGTGCAACCAATCCTCCGCGTAATCTCGTTGTGAAGCGCAGATTGTGATACTGGAATATCGAGTTGCTGACAGCAATGCCCAGGTAAACCAGAGCCCATGCGCCGATGAGTCCTTTACCGAAGTTGGCATCAGGCTTCTCTTGGCCGACGAAGCTCACAGAGGTGTTGATGAGAAATGGCTGGGCGAACGTGAACACTGAGAGACATAGTCGCGGTATGACTGGAGAAAGAAAGGAGAAGAAATAACTCTTGATGCACGCTCGCAGTAGACTGTTCTTTCTCTGCTGGTCATCTGGTTTCGTGGCTTAGCAAGTTTCCGGAAGCTTTCGGGTCATATGACAGCTAAATTTTAATCGCACTTACTGCTGTTCCAAGCGATAGACAGATCGCGATGCAGATGGCGGCTTTCCAGAACGATATCAAGGTTAGGCAAATCCCCGAGAGAAAGCACACTGGAGTATCCAAGTGAGAAGGTATGTGCCAGCCACCAAAAGCAAGTCCTCGCCCAGAAGCCGCTGGTCTGTTCAGGAGTTGGGAGTTTGCTGTACGATATCTCGGGCTCGGACTGTCTTTTTTTTGACTCGATCGACTCCAGAATGAGGAACGCGGTCGTCAACACCAAAAGAGCAGTCGCGAGAGCCGGGATAGGGCCTCGTTGATCCAAAAGCCATGTTGTTCGGACACGCGCAGTACTAAGTATGGTTGACGCGGAAAGATAGATGCTGAGTAAAGTTGATGGTCGAGGCGAGCGTTGATGAGTCAGGAGAGAAATTGGAACGATGGTGAGAATGGCGATGAAAATCAAGACATCGGCGGCAGCCGATGCAGATGTCTGGAAATTGGGGGTTTGCAATCGCAAGGCTAGAAAGGCGAGATGAGAAGCCAGAATTGCGGCTAGGACCACCTTTGAAAACAATTAAGCAAGTGACGGTGGTGATGGACCGGCGCGCAAGCGCGAGACGTGGAAGACACATACTAGTTTGGCAAGCAGAAGCCAAGAACGGACTGCGAAGGCGGTCGGTTGGCGAAGCAAATGGACGGCTCGCGTTGGTGCGAGGAGGATAAACACAGCGGACGGAATGCAGGCAAAAAGGATGTCCTCAAACTGCAGAGTGAAGTCGAAGGAACGACATTCTGGATGGACGCGGGGTCCGAAAGACTGGTCGCTCAGCGACGGACAGGACATCGCTACTAAGTTCAAGTCTGTGTTGGTTTAGAACAGTGGTCAAATAAAAAAAGAGACCAGTGTAGGCCACGCAGTTCTTATCAACCTCTGAGACCTTACTCCTGAACTTCGTGTTCCGTGACGCGTGCCATGTTGCCTTGCGGCACAGCAGTGTGCTGACAGTGGTTCCGGCCAGGCCTACAGATAAGGGTCGATACCTACGTTTCCTGTGTACTTAATGATGTACTCTTATCGAAGACAGCGACGATGGTAGTGAAGACGACGACGACGATAGCAGCGACGACGATAACAACGACAGTAAGGTAGAGAACGCAACTGCAGGAAAAGAAGCCACTCTAGCACAGGACAAACAGGCAGTCTCTGAGAGTCAATAGTTAGCCGTGAGTGCGGGCGTTCTCCTGACGAAATAGAAATTATTCGCGCTCGCACTAACAAATTTGCTGGAATCGTTGTATCAGCATGCAAACGTCCCGACCTTCTCGAATAGGAAATCTGGTTCAGGTTAGTCAGTGTTGCTTAGTTGAGTATCCTTGTACAGAGGCTGCGTTGCGGCGAAGCAAGCTATCTTCGGGAAGACCACTCCGAATCGTCATGCGTGCGGAATATCACCCGAGCTTCGGACGAAATTTACTGCTTTCTGGCTAGCCGAATAATCAACCAACTGCTTTCTGAGAAGTCGCACTCTTATTATGACAAGATTTCATCATCATCGGACTCCGGTTGTTGGCAATGGAATTGCGCACAGCTAGGTGACAGTGAACATGAAGTGAAGCAGTCTGGTTTAGACTTGGTGGAGGTAGCATTTCGCAAAGCACCCGCGCGAAGCCGCCTTGTAATACGGGAAACAAAAAGCTGCATAATGTCAAGGCATAGCATGCCTTAATGCCAGAAAAGTGAGATGGAAAAGAAAGCCAGCGTGATTTCGTGCCATCTTTATTGGCTGACAGTGAAGTTCAATGACCTTGAGTATCAAGAAATACATTGCGTTCTCCGCAAACATTGGGTTTCCATCGGCAGTGAGCGTGTGGATTTTTGGATTATAGCCAATTGCCGCACATATTGGACACTTCTCCTCTCTCCCGAGTAGTCAGTTCGTACATCACATGAATTGCATATACCAGATGATCTTCAATACGAAGTTCGGCCGGTTCATGCATCAACTGGGCAAAGAGAGACATTGGTGTAGGAAGCAATCTAACCCACTCTGGCTACGTCGAATAAGAAGAAATCTGACATTCCGGTTCATCCATACTATAAGCTAGCATGATTGCGGCTCAGCCACATCGATTTCCCGAGCTCCATAATACGACCATTGGTGTCTCCAATGAGCTGAGAGGTTACAGACGACGTCGTTCGTAATATCATGTCAACGAGCGGCGTTGCGGATGTTCGTGTTCGTCCGCATGTGGGTTTTACCCGATTCCAGAACCCGAACTTCGGCTACATCGAGCATATAAAAGCCCATGGATATTCCAATACTTGCTTGCAGTCGGTGAAATCTACATCAGCTGAGTTTGTTCCATCCAAGGCTAAACACATTCGACAAAAACACGATCAACGTCTTTCGCCAACGTCTTTCAGTTTCAACTTGAATCTTTCTACCTGTATTTCAGATTCCTACCAATATGAAAACCGCTGCACTATGTCTTTCGATGCTGAGCGGACTGGCCATTGCCTCCATACAGCCCCAAACATATGTCATACCTACGGGGCAGTTCAATGGCACTACAGAAGCGGACAGTATTATTGGCCTTTCAGCATTTGATGGTCCTCAAATCGCGGTCAACAATGGGTCGGCTTACCAGTGGTGGTATTTTGACGCCGTGTCTCATAACGCAGATGCCCTCCTCGTCGCGCAGTTCTATCCAGGGTGGTTTCCCGAGTCGAGCGCAGTCCTACTCCAGATTCTTTGGCCCAACGGAACATTATTTCCTTTCACCCCTATTCCCGTTGGAGACCTTCAGCTGAGCACTGTCGGTGATGGGTCGCAAGGCGTTGTGGATGATGGAGCGATGACTTGGTTTGGATCTTCTGACCTGGGAGTCTATCATCTCACGTTAGACATGCCACAAGTTGGTATATCGGGAAAGATCACCATGCGCTCCCGTGCTCCCGCTCACGTCGCATGTGGGCTCAACACTCCTGGAGGTTCCTTCAACTTCGCCCCATATCTCTCCTGGGCCAACACCATCCCAGATTCGCACGCCACCGTCAACTTAACCATCAACGGAACTGATCTCTCTTTCTCTGGCTCTGGATATCATGATCAGGTATTTCTCCAAGTCTCCTTGTTGAGAGGTTTGCTCTGACAACATGTCTATACAGGACTGGGGCACAGCAGGCTTCCAGAATAACCTGCACCAATGGTACTGGGGCCATTCGAACGTCGGCAGATACTCATTGGTATTCTTCTATCATCTTGATGAGTCGTTGAATGTAATATCTAGCGTTTATCTCGCTGAAGATGGCAAGCCAGTCATTTCTGCCTGTTCGGCTGTCAAAGTTAGTCCTCAGGAACCTGGGACTGCAGTCCCACTGGAACCCGGATCAGCCGTGGAAAGTTGGAACATTGAGATCGACAACCAGCTTGATGGTAAATACGCATTTCATATGGAGAAACTCACTTCGACAACTCCTGGTGAGAGTGTGTACTCACGATGGATCGGGCTCACAACTGGAGGACGGGTTGGAGACGCCAATTCCACGGGTGCTGGAGTTATTGAGATTATGAACAACCCGGCCATACTGTGAAGAGATTCTTGAGACATCTTGACAGAGTTGTCGGCAGTGATAGAATAGGAAACCACCTGTAATTATATACGTAGGCGCCTACTTGTCTAAGAACTAGATTAACACATGTCATCATAATTCGATTTTCCAGGACTATCAGAAAGCATTTTTCAGGAATGGTATGAAAGACCACCTACTGTTCCTTCGCGTACGCGATTTGGTTTCGAGAGCACCTAATCTTCCTGTATCTGCGCGGCTATATTTCCTGCATTCTTAAATACCCCGACCTTATCGATGGCGATAGGAGTAACGACGACGACGACAATGATAATAACAACGATAACTACGGCGACGATAGAAGCGACGACAACGACGGTGAGATAGAGTGTAGCCACAGGAAAAATAGGCGACCTCTTGATTTCCTATGCAATCGAATAGTATGGCATACTCCCGAAGATTGCCGATGAACGTACAATGACTTTATGTCTTGAATCGAATCACCCCGGCTTCATTTCAGAAAGCGTATATCTACGTGTGCTTCTATGTCAACCCGAACCCAGCCGACTATCTAGCGATGCAGTAGTGTGTGAAAAATGTCAAACATTCTTTGTTAGATAAGGTACCATACAACATCCTTCTAAAGTTCGACAACTTGGGCGTTTGGTTGCATTC